GGATGCTAAACAGCTGAGCTTTAGAAAACCATTGACTAGTAAAGCTACTTGGATTAGCTACTCAACACTACAGTAGCTGTAAGCTCTGATCTAAAACAGTAACACTGACCAATACCAAACAGCAGCAAATACATATGTAACAATACAAGATGTTCAGAACGATTAATACAGCAAGTACAACCTGTGCAGTTATCCACAAAACATCCACATCGAATCGAAACATCCTCCAGTGAAGTATAGATACAGTCCTTACAAGCTGAAAGGACACGGAGTGATCCATCACAGTAAACTGGAAGTTGTTCACAAACCAACATAACATGAGGTACCAGTTATAATAATTTATAATATAGCAAAATAAATAACAGTAGGGCAAATGGAGGATGTTACAGAGAGAGTACAGGAGGAGCTAGTAGAGACTAGAATCTACAGGAAGACTCACTGAGGAGCCAAACGACCTGAATGAAAATCCGGGGTAAAGAGTCTGAGTGAAGGTGGTGTTGATGGTGTGGAGGTGGACCAGGGAGTCAGAGGAGACTCTGTAGAAGGACAGAGTGCCAGCAGGACAGTCCACGTACACCGCTACTCTGTGAGTGATGGGAGAGGAGGAGCAGGAGGAGGAAGAGGAGGAGATGGATGTTCCTGTCTTGTTGTGCCAGACGGAGTAACGGCCGATGTCGGCGCAGTCCAAACTCCAGGACTGATCGTTCCTTCCAAACACAATGTCGTCAACATTACCTTTCCTTTGGATTCTTCTGTAACTCACTGAAATACGAACCTCCCCCTTCCACTCCACCTCCCAGTAACAGCGACCAGTCAGACCAGTTCTGCACAGCAGTTGAGGGCAGTTATCAAATCTGTCTGGATGGTCAGGATAAGACTGAAGCTCCTCAAGATGGGTCACCTTCCTGTTGTCCTCAGACAGTCTGAGCTCTCTGCTCACTGTGTTTGTGTCGATGGTGAGTTGACAGGAATCTGATGGAGAGAACACAATCCAGCTGCAGTTATTGATCATTTATTGGTACTTTGATGACTCCTGAATGGATGATGTTTGAAGATGGTTGAATGTGAGCACTTACACTTTTGCAGACCTGGTGTCAACCATCGGAGTCCAGCAGGCTCCATCCTGAAAGGCGGCGGAGGAGGTCAGACCATCAGTCTCCATCAGCAGATAAATATGGACATTACGTGTCTCTGAGACACACATTGTCCTACTCTGAGACAGGGACAGTCCACTGTGAAGCAACTCTTCCTGTTGTCCTCATCCCACCACAGACTGATCTCATTGGTCTTATGTTATTTTATCTTTATTCATTCAAGCAATAGGAAACTAACTGTACTATGTTCAGTGGAGAACTTACTAATGATATTCAAATAGAAATGAAGTTTTGGTATTAGATGGTTGCTGTAGAGCTATGAGACACAGACTTTTTCTAGAAGTCAGGATCACAGCCGCTTAGATCAGTCAGTAAAATAAATTCTATATGAAAATAAAAAAACTCTATGAATTTCCATCATTCACATTCCCATTACAAAGTTTCTCATCTGTTGCTGTCTTCATCATGGGAAGCAGCTGGGGTGCCTGTATGGCATGCTATCAGAGCCAAAATTAGGTCTGTTGTGCCACCTCTCTGGGAAATGGCTGTGTTTTCTATAAAACACATTTGGTGTCTCATAGACAATACTAAGTGAACAACATGTTCACACACCTTTAGTTGATAACATTCATGTAGAACATAAAACACCATCAGGGGAGACATCTCAGATCTCCTCAGATTTGCATGGCCTCTTCATACCTCATAGTTTCCAGTCTCCCATTGTGACCATCCCGTCCAAAAGAGAGCATCTTCATTCCCGCCTCTCCCAGATGGTTGTAGGTCAGGTCCAGCTCTTTAAGATGGAAGGCGCTGGAGTTCAGGGCTGAGGCCAGAGAAGCACAACCTTCCTCTGTGATCAGACAGCCGGAGAGACTGGAGGAAAGAACGGCACATGGGACACGACCTCTTCAAAACCTCCACTGGTTTTCTCAGTGTTTGTTTCCTTTGGATATTTCCTCTCTTTACTTTTTTGTGGATATGTCCTGGCTTATAAAGATATAAAAAACTAATGCTTTGATAACTGAGGTGTGACACATAAAGGTGTGATCCCATTCTTCAGTTTTATTTAATCTGATTTGTTCCTGTCCATTTATATTTGTGTTGTGGTTAGTAACTGGGAAAAGATAATTTAATGTAAACCAGAACTGTCACTCTTACTTTAGTGTTTCCAGTTCACAGAATGGACTCCCCAGTCCAGCACACAGCAGCATCACTCCTGCATCCCTCAGGTTGTTGGTGCTCAGGTCCAGCTCTCTCAGATTAGAGGTTTGGGAGCCAAGAATCAAGGACAGAGCTTCACAGCTTCTATCTGAGAGGTTACAGCCACTTAGTCTGAGGACACAAACAAATATTGACATTATTTTCTTTACCAAGTTTAAATTAGGACTTCAAAACTATAGTATAAAGAATGGAATAACTGAAATCGCCCCAAAAACAAATTATTGCACAATAAAAGCAGGCTGAGCATGATAAACCAGATGTATCAGGGTCTGTTTGTACTCACATAACTTTCTTAGCAGCTTTGACCACTGGCAGCAGTCTGAGAAGAGCCTCCTCTGAAGGGGAATACTTTTTCAGGTCAAACTCATCCAGATCTTTTTCTGATGACAATAAGATGAAGACCAGAGCTGACCACTGAGCAGGAGACAGTTTATCAGTGGAGAGACGTCCTGAACTCAGAGACCGTTGGATCTCCTCCACTAGAGAACGATCATTCAGTTCATTCAGACAGTGGAACAGGTTGATGCTTTTCTCTACGGACTGATTGTCATTGATTTTCTCCTTGATATACTGAACTGTTTCCTGGTTGATCTGTGAACTGTTTGCTTTCTGTGTCAGCAGACCATGTAGGAGTCTCTGATTGGTCTGCAGTGAAAGACCCAGGAGGAAGCGGAGGACCAGGTCCAGGTGTCCATTTGGA